GAGTCCCGCATCGGGCTCCCTGCTCGGCAGGGAGTCTGCTTCTCCCTCTGACCCTCCTCCCTCTCATGCTCTCTGTCTCTCATTCTCTCTCTCAAAATAAATAAATAAAATCTTTAAAAAAAAACCAAAAAAACCAAAAAAAACCAAAGGTACTAAATGTCAGAATTTGACCATTCCTAATTCTTTGACTATGTTTACCATGATCTATGTTCTTGAGGTTATTTACATCAACTTTCACACTGGAAGCTGGACGTCCTGATGGCGGGACTATTTACACCATGGAAATGGGCAGACACTACAGACCAGAGCTGGATTTGTTGTTTTGTTGACCGTCTGGGCTTAATGGGATGGAGAAAATTTATAATAGTGAAGACTGAAAGCAGAAGTGTGTTGAGGCTAGTGTTGGAAGTGAAAGAAATTTTGGTTTAATGACCGGTTTGTATGAGAGTGAGAAATACTTTAATAGTAGATCACATATCAGATTTCATGACAGCCAGCCTATTGGAAAAAGAGTTAATGTACTGAGCTACAACCCCCAGCTGTAAAATCAGGGTAGGCCCTACCCACAGTTAGCAAAAACTAACGAAAAGTATTTTGTGAGAGCCGACTGGCCTAACGGATTTCAAGATAAAAACACTATACCTTTTATTCTTTGTAAACCATAAGCTATTTTAATTTTTCTATCAGCAAAATTTATAACCGACTGAGGTACATACATATGTATGTGCACACACACACACACACACACACACACACACACACACTCTGACTTCCAGGCTCCGGAGGGCTGGTGGTTCAACCTTTACCAGCACACGCCTGGCGCTGTGCTAGTCCCCGACTCCTGGAACTGTCAGCGTAGTAGGGGAGGCAGATAGGCAGTCAGCCACCCCCCAAAGGGGATGCATGTCGGGATGGAGAAGGCACCACGGGGGCTGAGCAGGGGGGCCCAGCCGGCCTGGCAGGGACGGGGCGGACTGTGTGGCTGGCGCGGGAGGGGCTAGGACAAGACCTCTTGGATTGTGTGCCAGCGACAAAGACACCTTGGGAAGTCATCTCCGTTCCCGTGTCCCTTGGTTTTGCTCAAACTCTGTTTCAGGACATGGATTAGTCAGTTAGCCATATTTCACGGGCCACAAAAATCGAGCTGAGGATGGAAAGCGGCAAAGGAAGAATGGGGATACCACAAGCTCTTCCTTTTCTGGACTTGGGCTGTCCCTCGGGGCAGCGGGGACCCCCCTGACCTAACCCAGCCTGATGGCACATTCCTCTCTTCAGCCCAGAGCTTCAGAGCTTCACAACTGCTACCTGCACTGAGTGGCCACACACGAGGGGGGCCCGAGGGGGCCACACACGAAAACCCCATGGGGGTTCTGCTGTGGATGCTCTCCCTCTGGCACACAAGGGGCCTAACTCCGTGAGATAGCATCCACGCCCTCCTGGAGCTCAGGTGCTGCTCACCCTGGAGGCCACGAGCTGCAGCTGCGGCACGACGGCTGTGTGGACCAGGTTCCCGTTCACCACCAGGCGGATCTCCATGGAGTCGGTGGTGAAGGCCAGGAGGTACGGGAAAGCGCACACTGCAAGGCAACAGGGCGCGTCAGCTGCCAGCCTGCTGGCTTGTGGCTCTCGAGGTGCCGGACCATCCCACAACTGCCCTCACTGCTCCAGAAACTTCCATCTCCCCTCCTCCTCCGGCTGCTTCTCTTCTTCCTCCCCTGGCATGTCCCCCGAATCTAAGAGAGCCTCATTCCTGAGACAGCCTCCTCTTAGCTGCCAAGCTTCTGCTTCAAGTTGGTGAGCACTGCCTCTGTTTCTCCTTGTCCCCTTTTCACTGGGGTCGCATAACCTGGTCTCCTGGAGGCTCACCCGCTCAAGTCCCGAGAGACATTCCCCCCTCTTGTCCCCTCTGGCAGATGCCGCTGGGCCCCGAAACCCCGCCTTTCCCGGGTCTTCATGCCCTGTCACTTGCTCCCTTCTCCTCTGTGCTCCTCCTGCCATGCCTGGGCCGGGATTGGGTCTTCTTCCTCACTGTCCCTCACAGGGTGCTGTGGCGTCAATGGGTCTGTAGAGTTATTTGTGAAAGGTCGGCCCCTCTTCTTGAAATCGTTTTTACGACACCCTGACTCCCAGGCCCCACAGCTGCCCTGGTTGCCCTGGGACCTCTCCGCTTTGGCCCCTTCACTGGCTACTTCATGCTCCCATGCTCCTTCACACTAGCTTATTCTCTGTTTGCTCTCTCCTTGGTGAACTCTCTACTCCCTTGGCTTTACCCGGGGTGACCTACCATACCCATGCCTCTAGCCTTGCTCTCTCAAGTGACCTCCAGTGCTGGGGCTCAAAACCTGAAAGCAATCATCAATCCTTCCTTCTGTTTTTGTTTTTTGGGTTTTTTTGGGCCATCTCTCGTCTGTCACCGAAGGCTGACTGGTCCCTCCATTATCCGGATTGGATCTTCTGTTCTCATCTCAAGACTCTAGACTGTTCACCTATGATCACATACTTGTCCTTGGGAGAAAACAGTACTAATTCAAACATTCTTGGCTCTGAGCTGACTCTCACCAGGCAGATACCCAGCTGTGGATCCTGAACCCCAGGAGGGAAGCACTACCACTCACTCCCTAATATTTCAGTGGCAGGCGAAGTGCCTGTGTTTCTGTGATTCCAGATTTTCAAGCTTCAAAATACGTAAGAATGGTGCAGAATGCATTGTGCTTCTCCAACAAGTCAGGTGGCATTTTAAGGCTGGAGATCTTGCTCTCAAATTGTGAGAAAAGGAAAGCAAGACCCAGAAATGAAATGATAACTGGAAGATCCCCAAGTCCTGAAAACTGGGATTTCACGGCTCTCAAATGCTCACACGCTCACAACTGGGAGGCAAAGGGGACGGCAACAGTCCCCAAAAGGGGAACAAACAGGAAAACAATTAAAAAGGAAAAAGAACCCTTTGAGTACTCATCAGACTCACATAACTCATAGCAATCTAGCAGTAAGCCAGCGAGTTTGCTTACATGGGATTGAACTGTTCAGATGGGTCTATGCAGGAGGGGAAGAGCAAAATGATCTAGGTTTTTCTTACCAATCGCATAAGGAGCCTGGTTCCAACAGAACTGGAAATCTGACGCAGAGGGTTGAACCAAAAAAGAGCCCCCATTAAATGGGCAAACCTTTTTATAGATGCAACTGTCTGCAACAAAACAATAGCGACTCATTTTTTGTGAGAGACAATGCTTAGAGCTGGTAATTAGATAAATGAAAACACAGGCAACCAGGCTAGTGTCCTATCTGCTAGGTCGGCACACGCAGCTGGAGCCAACACCGCCTCGACGCCAGGTGCTCAGCCAGGAGGTGGGCGGGGCCGAGCGACACGACTACAGCAAGTATTCATGGCTGCCATTTGGGGAGGATTTACTATGTGCCAGGCACTGAGCTTTAAACACCTATTTCATCTGAATAACCTTCTGAAGTAGATGCCGTTATTACGCTCCGTATACAGATGAGAAAATTGAGGCCAGGAGAGGTGACACAGCTTGTCCAAAGTCTCACAAGTACCACACGGGGAAGCAGGGTTTGAACACGGGTGAGCTTGACGGCAGAGAAGGGACCCTTGATGGAGCTCCCCCCGGATGGAGGAGGCGCTCCTGCAAGGTAGATCATGCTCTGAGCCTCACGTGGGGGCTGTATGCTCCCCGCCACTTCCTCCCCGCCTCCCCACATTTTATTAGGAAAACTCGAAGCCATATGGCTGTGTCACGTTGGGGAACACAAGCCAGAATTAGATTAAGGCCAGTTGAACAGCTGCTCTGTTCCTGGCCTGCTCTGAGCTCTGAACCCAAGTCCAGGTGGTTCAGATCCTCTCCGAGTGAAAAGGTCAGTATAGAAGCAAAGGCTCCTGTTATTCCAGGAGCCCATCATGTTTTAGCCATACGGTTTTATTTTTAATTATTTTTAAACAGTTTTATGGAGCTATAACTTACATATCATAAAATTCACCTCCTTTAAGTGTACAATTCAATGTATTTGAGTAAATTTGCAGACAATGTCACAAACTAATTTTATCATCTTTTCATGACCCTAAAAAGAAACCTCATGCCCGTTAAGCACTCACTCCCTTCCCTGGTTAGACCCGAACGCTGTGCCCTGCGCTGTGGGAGGGCAGAGGCTGGGGGAGCCGGGCGGCTGGTCAGGGCCTGCATGGGGGCAAGCAGGAGGCCCTCCCAGCAGCTGCTATGGCCCAGCTGAGGCTCCCGCCCTGTCAAACCTGTTTAGGGACTCCTTTCATGTGACCACTAGGCTTACAAAGCAATTGTCTTATATAGTTTAACTAACACAGTGAGTCCTTAGGAGAGGAAAAATGAGCCAAAGTCAGTGCTGTCTTATTTTTGCTACAATGGATTCACTAGGGGAGAAAAAGGTACCTTCAGTCTCAGCTGAAGCCCTTGCTCCCAGAGAGGACAGCCGCTCAGGAAGGGTGGCCCCTCACGGCTGTGCTGAGGCTCTGGCCTCTCCGAGGTACAGGTGAGGCTGGTCCCCCCCTTTCCTCTCGGGCCCGTCTGCTCCTGCTCTCAGGGCTGCACCCTAGTTTGCCCTTTTCCATCGGGTCTTTCCCCCCAGCCCGCAAGCATGCCGCTTTCTTCCACCTTCTAGAAAGCAACTGTTCTTCCTCCTCCGTGACCTCTCTTCCTCCTTTCCTGAACCTTCCCTTCTCTTTCCCCACAAAGGAAAATTCTCTGGAAGGCTCTCTGGATTCCTGTCTCTACTTTCTCTTACATTCTCTCTCATCCTATGCAGGGGGGTTTGCTCCCACTGCTCCCCAGGGACACCTGCTCTCTCATCAAGGTTTCCTGAGGACCTCCACCTTGGTGCTCCAGGAGCCCCCTCCCATTCCCTACTTAAACTGCCGTCTTTCCTTTCGGGAGATTTCCTTCCCTGTGGCTGTTCCTCAGTCTGCTGGCTCCTCCCATCTCTCTCCCCACTTCCCAGCTTCCAGTGACTCCGTGTCACTTACATGCTAATGGCTCCCAAATGAGGATCTCCCACGGGCACTCTCCCCTCAGCCCCCAGTGTCTGTAATAGCGTATCTGGGAGGCACTGACCTGTCCAGACTCAACTCTTGATCTTTCCCCCCAAACTTGCTCTTCTTAGTTTCCCACATCTCAGTAAATGGTATTCTCCATTCTTCCAGTTGCTCAAGTCCCAAAGTGCAGCCTCCCTTCTCTCCCCCCTGGCATATGCCATGTTGGATTCAAGAACCGATGATCTTGTTCTCATATTTCAAATACCTCTAGGGTCTGACCACGTCTCAGCACCTCCACTGCTGTGTGCTGGAGCAAAGCCGCTGTCACCTCTCATCACATGGGTGCAGTCACCTGGTAATTGAACTGCCTTACCTGCTTCCGTGAAGCTCTCCACACAGCGGCCTGAGTGGCCCGTGGTCCTTGTCATACCTAGGTCCGATCCTATCGCCCCTTTGCTCAAACTCCTCCAGCTGCTCACCAGCTAAGAGGCCCCTCACCTACCAGGCCCTCCCTGAACCTGGTCCTCTTGGGGTCACCTTGAAATACTAGAATGTTCCCTCCTCAAGGTCTTTACACACCCCTTCCAACCCCCTCAGGGTCTTCTCTCTGAGTGCCCCGTCCAAGGAGGTCTTCCTTCTCTACCTTCCCTAAATGGAGACCCGCGCCCCCGCCTCCTGCCTGCCTTCAGCCCCTCTCCCTGCTTTACATCCATAGCACATACCACCATTCAACATACTAGGTACTTTTCTTATCCTGTTAATTGTCTATCTGTCCCCTTGAAAATGTACACTCTGAGAGGCAGGCATCTGTATATCTTTTACTCACTGCGGAAACATTAGGTGCTCAGTAAATATTTGTAGAATGAGTGAGCTACTCTTCCCTCACCATCCCTGCTCAGGAAGGACACAGCTGTGGTGTGTTCCTCAAGGCCCGGGTCCCTTATACACATCTCCTCTCCACCCCCTTATCCCACCCCAGCTCCCACCAGGGGACAGCCGACTGCTGGTAGGTTTGAGGGTGTCTGGGCTGGAGGAGACTGAGCTCACAGAGCAGAGAGCCTGCTGGATGGCAAGGGATGGTGTGTACGTGCCTTGGGAGCTCAGCCTGGCCCAGAGTGGAGCTGCCCACCTGAGAAATGGGCACCCGGGCATGGATGAGGTGATCCAGACTGTACTTCAGAGGTTCCTCTGCTCTCCTTTCCAAGTGAATAAGCCCCAGGGACTCCAATATGACTCCAGAGAAGTAGAGGGCTCTCCCTCCCAATAACTAATATTGGTGGTTTCTGCACCCGAGGACAGGGGGCTCTCAAACAGACTGAACTGATTTAGAAAAGTAAGCAAAGCATGTTTCTTGAGCCGCAGAGCTGTGAAGCACATTCACACTTAAAAGTACTGGCGTCCATGCCGGGCCCTCCCCTAAACTGTGAGCTCACTGCAGTCCCTGGCAGCGCCTTTCACTGTTGTGTCTCCAGAATCTACTGTGTGCCTGGCACAGAGAAGGTCATTTGTTGGAGTTTAAAAAGGGCAGCCTGAATGGGGGAGCTGGGGTGAGGGGCAGGAGTCTAAAATGTTGTGGCCCAGGAAGGAGCTAGGAGTCCATGACCTTGCCTCCATTTGACCTTCCCCATCAGGGTGACAGGGTGACAGATACTACTTCTAATTTTAAAACAAATTTCTCTGAAGAAAAGTCCCTTTCTGCATGTATAAAAGCCTATGGTGGTTACAAAACAAACTGGATGCTGATTGATGCTCTGATGAATCTGGAAGAAAAGGAGGAAAAAAAAGTCTTGCTGTGCCTGGCAACGTGTTCCATGTATAATCCTGTTTAATCTTCACAGCAGACATGAGAGGTAGGTTCTATATTCTTCACATTACTCATCTGGAAGTTAAGACTTAGGTTAAATGTGGTCACACGGAGAATCAACGGTACTTACGTGAACGTTTCTAGTTTCCTTGTGTGATTATCTTTAAAACTCCATCAGCAAACAGAGTTCACCTTAGTACTGAAATTTATTATTTGCATTAAAGGTGAATCATTATTGCATGCTAAGGTCACGGCCAAATTTTCTTTCTTTTTTTAAGTAAAGACTGACTCTGATATTCAAGATAGAGATTAATGATAAGAAAATAAGATCCTCAATATACTGAACTATTTATACTTTTCTCCCCTGAAATTGATCTTGCAAATACATTTTTCTCTAAGAACATATAACTGGGAGTTATAATTTCTATTATAAAATATTTTAATCTTCAACACATCTGAGAGAAAAGTCTCGTTATATGAAACTCTCAGTTTATAAAAGTTGTTTTTTACTTTGTTTTGTTTTTTAATGGAAATAGAAAAGAAACTGATGAAAATCAGCTGCAAATCTTGGGGGGGAGCAAGATCATTCTATAGCACCTTACTGACAAGGGCCTTCAGGGCACAGTTGTCTGGACAGAAGCGGGCAAGCGCAGCGTGCCCTGTGTGTGTGGGAATGGGTTACAGAAGTAGCCTGGGAGACTCTGGGGAAAACCAGCTGGTTCTCTGGGCTTGTTCACCAGGGACGCACCAGCCTGCTGGGAGAAGGAGGGAGATGGAAAAGAAAAACCAGATTCCTGACCCAGAGAAATGGAAGCAAGTGGCACAGTTTGGGGAAGACGGAGGCAGGTCTGGGAACCTCTGGGATTCCCAAGGCCTTGACCCATGTAGCATCTAAACACACAGAGCTTATTACCTTCTGATGGCTTGGCGGGTCTAGCAAAACAGACACACGCATACACCGATCCCATTTGAGATGAAAGCAGAGCCTGAAGCCAGGACACCAGCAAAGCCAGGGGAAGTGCAAGTTCCTGGGGCTCCTCGAGCCAGAGAGGCCGCTTGAACCATACCTGACATAGCGCTGGGCCACTGCCGCCCTCAGGACAGCTGCCTGCTCGGGTCCACAAGCTTCCAGTGGGGTACAGGGAGGATGTCACCCACCTTTGTTTCCATGTTCCTTCCCTTTCCAGTTTGGGACTAATCATCCCAATCTGATAACCTGCTCTATCTTTCTGTTCTGATCTTCTCTCCCACCTAAAATCCCTCCATCCTTTCAAGCGGTTAGAAGAAAAAAAAAATGACATCAGTTTGTAAAGCATCCCGCCACAAGTTTTTCCTCCCAAATTTTTCATTAAAGTGGGAAGACAACATGTGAAACTGTGAAAGAGATAAAGAGATCTTATAGAAGTGATCTCCGCCCCCCCGCCCCCGCTCCACTGGGCCCTGTAACCTGGGAGCCGTGGGGCCCAGGAGCCCCGCTGGAGAGCGGGCAGCAGGCTCTGTTCCTGCTGCCTTGCGGGTCGGCCCCCTCACCACTAGGCTATCATATCTTGCATCTCAAAAGATGATTTTTACCAAACAAATTTCTCTGCTAGTAATTAGCCCTCCCATACTTATTCCTCAAAGATTAATCGAAGTATCAGCCCCATGTGTATGGAAATCAATACAATTCTAGGCTGGAAGAATATGTTTTGTTGTTTTAGTTACACTGGGCAGGCTTATCCAGGAAAATATCTTACTACGTTGAGTCTTAAAAGGATCCTTTTTATTGCAGTATCATATTAGCTTTTGAAATGCTGAAAATCCATGAAGACCCTTTTTGATGTGTTTGATCTGCTCTGCCTGAAACCCACCGGCCCCAAGTGAGGCTGGATACACCAGGTTGAGGCTGATTTCTTTAACAGCCTGGGAGCAGCAAAGAGTGGAATAGTAACTGGTTAAAATTTGGGGTGCTGGGGTCAAGAGGACCCCAAATGTGAACCCTGGGTCTGCTGCTCTGTAGCTGCCTGATCCCGAGAAAGGCAGTTCACCTCTCCGGGCCTCAGGGACCTTATCTCCAAACCTCAGGTAGTAACAGGTGAGAATTCACTGAAACAGTCACTGGATCTACTGAGCACAGCGCCTGGCACACGGTAAGGGCTCCCTAAATGGAGGCCACTGGCAGCAGCCGTAACCCGGAGACAGTGCCATAGGCAGGCCCATCTCACCAGGAGGGCTGGGAGATCCAGGTCGGAATGCCATTTTTAGATGCTCCCTGGAGTGCAATTAAGGTCGCAGGAACAAGGCACCAGGTAAATCTAGGTCTGGCTCCCTTTAAATTGCCCAGGAAAAGAGCAGTTAATTTTAGCAACTTACAGTTGTAACACAAAAGCAGCCCGGCTTCTCCATCCTCGTACACATCAATAGCTGCCACAAAATTAACCTGAAATGATAAAGGCAGTGGTGGTGGGCAGGCCGGACAGGACACCGTTGAAAGACTTTCTCAAGTTCAAGGCTTTGGCGGGGCGGGGGGGGGGGGGGGGCCTCCGGGGCGTGGGGGGAACTTCCACCTTGGGCGGCCATGATTATAACGCACAGAACCCTCTCGCCTTCCTTTCCCCACTGGGACTTTGTCACCATCTTTTCTACCCGACAAGGAGCTCTCGGGAGACGGGCATCTGCACTCTCTCTGACAACAGGACCCCTATTTGGGTAGTGTGCTCCGGTTCCCAAAGCTTCCTTGCAGGGCGAGTTCAGTTCCCTCGCACGCGGACCTGGGGAGTACGTGCTGTTCTCCCACTTCGCAGGTGAGGGAGGTGAGACGCAGAGACGCGAAGTTGTAAGTGTTGTAAGTGCCGCCGCCGAGGCTTGAACGGGGCCTCCTGCTCTTGGCGCCCTTACCCACGTTCCCGCCTCAGCCAGCGGGCAGTCGCACGACCTCTGAACCACTGGGCCAGGTCTTCATTTCTATTCGCTCGCTCTCCCGCACTTGGAGGGATGCAGCAGGGCACCACGGAGAGGGCGTCAGAAGACCTAGTTCCGTGTTCTGTTCCTAGTTCCGGGCAAACTCGCCTCCCTGAACATCCTGTCCACACCACCGCCTGCTTCTGTGGCTCATGGCAAACGGCTCAACCTCCGGCCATGGGTCTTGGCCTGTAAAACTGGTGTGAGGACGACTTTGCTGACTGTAATGAGAACTCCACTCCAAGGGTTTCGAGGAGGGCCTGACACTGTCTGGTCAGCACTGTGAGCATCTTCCTCTCCCGCGTGACTAGTTTCCTCCCGAACCTCCTCCTTTTTGTGAGCAGAGCTAGCCCTGACATCTCAGGGGCCCCCCCACTCCCCCAAGCCCAGCAGCCTCCCCTTCAGGGGCCCTCGGGTGTCTTGTGTGTGCCTCCCTGGGCAGGGGCACGGGCCTGTCCCCCCCCAGCTCGCCTCTCCAGCCCCTTCAGGAGCCGATGGTGCCCAGGCCCACCTGGGCTCCTTCGGCAGACCCTCCGCCTGGCCTCCTCCAGCAGATCCTCCGCCGGCCAGCCCTCCTCCGCCGGCCAGCCCTCCTCCGCCGGCCAGCCCTCCTCCGCCGGCCAGCCCTCCTCCTTACTACTGTCACTGTCACTGTGCTGATGCCCCCCTGGCCACCCTCAGTATGGGGCATTCCTCCCACTTCACCTAGCACGGGGCCTCTGCCTTGGCTCCGGCCTCCCTCCGATGGAAACTGTCCCCTCCCGTCCCTCATCATCTGGCACAGTCCTGGGTGCCATTCAGCACGCAGAAATGAATGAGTAAGGCAGGGTATCGCCCCTCAAGAAAAACCAGAAAAGCATATAAATACATGAAACAAGGTACAATGAGGCAAATGCCACAAGCAAGAGCTGTGGGTGCTTTGGGGCGGGCGGCAGACCTTGAGGCTCAGAGGTCAAATGTCAACTCTGGGAGCAGAAAGACGTGGGGAGCAAATCCCAGAGAATTCCTCCCCTGCTATATATCATACCCCCCTATTTTAACGATCTGCCTAGTGTGTGTTGCTGTCTGATGTTCACTTATTTCTGTTTATCAGAGCCCCCGCTCCCCCCCCAGTAGAACATAAGCTTCGTGAACAGAGGCCTCGCCCGTGCTGTTCCTTGTCACGCACTCAGCACCTGCACGGGGCATGGCACGTGGCAGGAGCAGAATAAATCCTCGGTGAATGCATGACTGAATAAAGGAAATCCTAGCTCTGTCACTTTAGAGGTGTGTGCCCTTAGGCCCCCTGTTCAACCTCGCAGAGCCTCAGTTTCTCCATTTGTAAAAGGAAAGATAAGAAGGACATCTGCCCCTGTGGGGGCTGAGGATTCCATGAGGCCACTTACGGAAGCACCTAGCACAGGGCCTGCTACTTGGGAAATGCTCAGTAAATGTCAGCTGACAGCACAGCCCAGCTGTGGAACCGGCACCAAGGGGGTATGTGATGTGAGGGAGCAGCCTTTGAACTCTCTGGTCCCAAAGGGAGCCCTCCTGTCCCCACCACTTTGACTTATAATCATTTTCTCCTCAGATGTCCTAGTACTTGTCAGTCGGATGACACTTACCCAGCCAGAGGGAGGACAGGAGGGGCCAAGTGCTATCAGCTTTGTAGCCTGGACCTTTGTGGCCTATCCCCCATCATGCCTTGGGACACGGCTGTGGAGGCCACAGCATGCTGGGGTCCAGGGCACAGCCTTCCGAGTCAGAGAGCCTGGGTTCAAGTCCTGTCTCTGCTACTTACTAGCTGCGTGGTTTTGAGTAAACAAGTGACTCCTCCTTTCTGAGTCTTAGTTTCCTTTTCTGCAAAAATAGGGAAGTGAACAGTAAATTCCCCATAGTTGGTGGGCAGATTTCGTGAGATAGTGCTTATGAGGTGCCCTGGCACGGGGCCAGACACAGAAGTGATCATTCAGTGGTGGCCATGTTTATTCTCATTATGGGAGGGTTAGCAGTAGTGGGAAAGACGGGATGGGACGGTCTGTGCGTTTCGAGGTAGGGCCTGTATTATGTGCTTGGGGTGGGGGAGGGCAGATGTGTGGCCGTCACAGGAGTAGAGGAAGTTCAGGCAGAACTGAAGCATGGAGGCAGCAGACACCAGGGAAGTCGCTGGCGTGCGGGGGCGGGGCGGGGGGTGTCTATGAGGGGGGTCCCAGGACCGTGCTGACTGGTGGATGAGCATGGCTGTGTGCAGAGACTCAGGCTGCAGGGCAGGTAAGGGCTGAGCTCCGGCCACGGCGCTGGCACTCGGGGACACCACGGCTTGGACTTAGTCACTTACTCCTCTGGCACTCCCTGGCATTTTGTTCAGACCTCTATTAACACTTAGCACAGTGAGACCCATTTCATGCTTTGATGCCTACGTGGGTCTCCCCTGGTGAGGGGCCTGGTGGGAGTCAGTCTCTGAGACATTGTTTCTTGAAGACATCAGAATCAACTAGAGAGCTTTAAAAAATATATTCTGGGTTCTCGCTCCTAGAGATCCTCTTATAGTAGTAGGTCTAGGGTAGGACATAAGTGTTGCTTTTAATTTTTTACTTGATGAAAAATAAGTAGTTCACTTTATTGGCATTTTAAAATGATAAAAGTAACATGGTGGTGTGAAAATTCAAAACAGGTTTGTAACAAGTTAAGTCTGCACCCCACCTTCCCCAGCCCCAGCTGAAAGTGGGAACCACTGCTAGGTCAGTGTCTGACCTTCCCATGTGATTTTGGGGTGAGCTTCCCACCGAGACCCCCTGGGTCCTGGGCAGATGGTCAAGATGGGGACTTAGGCCCAGCATCTAAGCCAGAGACCTAGATCTCATAATCAGGTCTGCAGTTCCTTCTAGAGGAGACCTTTGTTTTGGGAAGGAGGCCAATGCTGGCTGTTGGAGTTGGGGCAGCAGGTCACGATAACCTGTTGGTAAAATGAACTTGATGTTGACTTTCAGACTGCTGCTTTGAAGCTTCTTAAACATTTCCTCTCTTAACCTGGGGTTCTCTTAGACCCTCAGGTGGGGCTGAAGACTGAAATGGGAATTGAATGGGCTTGGCTGAGAAGAGAGGAGGAATGGAGGTGAGAAACTAGGCCAGAAAATCCACACTGGTGCCAAACAGAGTAACCTGAATGAGGGCGCCTGGGTGGCTCAGTTGGTTAAGCGACTGCCTTCGGCTCAGGTCATGATCCTGGAGTCCCAGGATCAAGTCCCACATTGGGCTTCCTGCTCAGCAGAGAGTCTGCTTCTCCCTCTGACCCTCCCCCTCTCATGTGCTCACTCTCTATCATTCTCTCTCAATAAATTAAAAAAAAAAAAAAAGAGTAACCTGAATGACCCTGAAATACCCAATGACTTAGGGAAGGTCGGCCTCTCTCTCTCCTGCCTCTGTTGCACCGGGGCCTGGGCTGCAGGAACATCTTGGTAAAAAGCTAGCCCGGGGACGCCTGGGTGGCTCAGTCAGTTAAGAGTCTGCCTTCGGCTCAGGTCGTGATCCTGGAGTCCCAGGATTGAGTCCCACATGGGGCTCCCTGCTCAGTGGGGAGTCTGCTTCTCCCTCTCCTTCTGTCCCTCCCCCTGTTCCTTCTCTCCTCTCTTTCTCTCACTGTCTTTCTCTCAAATAAATAAATCTTAAAAAAAAAAAAAAAGCAAGTCCTGTTCCCGCAGTCCATTTCTAACTGGCTATGAGAAAACACTTTGTTCATTACCTTTTTTTATTTCCCTAGGGCTTATCTTCCCAATTAGACAGTAAATTCCTTGCGAAGATGAGTAGCTGTGTCTAAGTATCCAGGCCCGCTCAGCAAACACTCAGCAGCTGCGGATGTACCCGAGGATGCAATATACACGCTGACCCACTTAGATCTAGGGAAAGGCTTTAAAAAATTTTTCTTTAAAGATTTTCTTAGGGAAAAACTTGGTGACTTAGTTTTAAAAAGCATATTGAAGAAAAGACAGAACATTTTCGAATTATTCCTGGTAACTTTCAGAAAAACAAAACCAAGGAGCCACCCAAGACAACCATCTTTAACCCAATTTTTCCTGGGCCTTCATGAATCTTATGAGGGAAAAAAAAATCCACACTTTAATGAATTATCAGGGTATTAAATATAAGTAAATAATAACAATCAGCAGAAAAAGCAGGCAAAGTTTTAGGAAATTAGTTGCCAGGGAAGGGACTGATTGAACAAAGATCTTCTGGGCCATGATTTTTCTACCTCTTTTGGCTGGTCACAGGGTTTTGAAAAGTAAGAAGGGCAAGAACTTTTTTTTTTTTTTAAGATTTTATTCTTAAGTAATCTCTACACAAAACGTGGGGCTCAAACTTACAACCCCAAGATCAAGAGTAGTATGCTGTTCTGACTGAACCAGCCAGGCACCCCCAAGAAGGGCAAGAACTTTTAAAGCCAAATCAGGCCCTTCCTCCTCAGAAGTTGGCAGGCTGGAAGAGGTTATGGGTTCCCAGTTGCTGGGATGGAGCGGCACTCCTTCCGGCTTTAATTTAGGAAGAGTTTCAGGGCAGACTCATTCTCCTAGGTCTGTACCTGCATCACCTGGCAAGACTTAAAGCATATTGATTCCCACACACCCAGAAATTCTGATTTAATTGATCCGGGGTGGGGTCAGAACACTCATCTTTTTAAAGCCTTCAGGAAGTTATAGCCAGGGCTGAGAAGCAATGTATACAGGTGGTTCCCAGACTTGTCTGAACTTAAGAATCACCTGAGGATCATTTAAAAAATTCCAAAACCCATATCCACACCCAAGACCAGCAAAATCTCTGGGGTTGGGACACGGGCAGCAATAGCTTTTAAAGCTCCTCAGATGAGTCCAATTGCAGACAAGTTTGGGCACCACCATATATACATATATATATGAGAAACAACAGATGATCTGTGATTGATAATTGTGGAAGGCAAGAAGGTTTCCTAATTATATCTAGATTTTTCTTTTTCTTAAAATCTTGCTCTCATTTGGTATTAAGTCTTAATATAGTAATGAGCAATTTTTTAATGACTATTTGGGTAGGGTGTGCCCTAATATAAGCTGTATTTTTTATTTCTTATAAAGCATAGTGAGAAGGAATTCTGCAGTCTCTTGGACCTAGCTGGATGGGACTGGAGTAAGTTTGTAGGTTTGGAAGTCCTCACCAGGAACTACATTCTCTGTGGGGGCAACACCCCCGTTCTTTGGTGTGAGCGCTCACTGCACCCCCCCCGGGGGCACTCATGTTCAGAACCCACGCAGTCATCTGCAGTATTCAAGTACAACTGCAGGTGGGCCTCGGGTCTCTTCCAAACCCCAGACACCCCTGCGCTCCGCACAGCTCAGGCTGGAGGGAGACACTCTTTCTTTCTCCTCATGATGTCCCGTCCCTTCCTCCTTTCCTAGGGGGCCTTTACAGGGAGGGACCCAGGGGCTGAACCCGCCCCAGCCACCCAGGCCCCAAGCTGTGAGTTGGCCCGGGCCACGGAGAGGATAAGGCCCTTCTGGAGTGAATGACCAAACAAATGTTCTCATTTCTTTAGTTACTCAGATTGAGCTTTTAGACCCTTCCCGTCTCCTTTATGAGGAAAGATGGAATGGCAGGGGGAGATGTGGAAAAGCTGAGCAGGGCAATGCGGCAATTCAGTTAGACAGGACCGTTCTGACCTACAAGAAGGTGACTTCACAGGATGCAGCCAGAACAGTGTATCACAGAATACTGCTGTGGTCAATTGCACGTGATTTTAAAGAAATTCTCATCATGGCCTCTCGAGGTTAGAAGACGCGCTCCTGGTCTTCTCTGCTTCCCACTTGCCCTCCGCCGGTCGACTCACCCTGTTGGCCTCCACGTGGTGCAGCCGGAAGGCCTCCCCCGTGCTCTCGTTCACCACGTCGAACTGGTGACGGTAAGCCACACAGATGAGATTGTCACTCTCCTCGGTTGGCCCATCTACTAAGGTCATCACCGCGGGAGAGTCGGACAGACAGATCTCCTGTGTGGTTGATGATGACGTGGGAGAAGGGGTCAGGACACGGAGCAGCCATTTTCATATCAACCCCCCACCCCCACCCGCTCCCCCATCCAGTAGCGGGTTCCCTCCCCAGGCTCCTGCAGAGCCCTTTGTTGGCAGGAAAGGTGGGGACAGGGAAAGAGGGGTAGGGATTGTGCCAGACTCCCCCCTCCCACAACCTGTCCTCAAAACCCACACCTGGCAAAACTGATTAGCCCTCAGATAGTCTGGCCCTGTCCTGTGATTTGATAAGAATAGAATAATAGTTGCTAACCTTGTTGAGCACTTAACACAGTGCCAGGTACTGTTCTCACTGGATCCTCAAAATGACCTTATGAAGTAGGTAAGGCTATTATTCTATTTTACAGGTAAGGAGACTGAGGCTCAAAGGTCACATGACTTGCCTACATTCGCATAGTTTATACATGGTGCAGCCAAGATTGGAGCTCAGGAAATCTGATTTCAGAGCTGATAGGCCACATAAATGCATGCTCTACATAAGCAGTCATTAAGAGTGCTAATTACTGTACTGAGAAGACTAACACCTAATTAGAGCAAGATTTTAACTTGTTTTAACGTCACTGTGATGACGGTTCTGTCCCCCTAAATTGACTCTTAGCAGAAATTGATATGCATAATCAGGAGGCTTTAACTCTGGCAAAAATAATTGCTCAGCTCACCTACAGGCAAAGTCTGCCCTCGGAGCCAATGTTTGACACGGTTCACACCTAATGTACTGAAGTTTTTAAGAAGGTAAGAGATGGCAAGAGCAGGAAAGGGACCCTCAAGGAGGCTTCTCTCACAGGGTCCCACCGTGAGTGAATCTGCCAATCCTGCTGGCTCGGGCAGGCAGGACAGCTGGTTCCTCCTCTGCAGCCGCCAAGGCCACGGTCATCTGTTGCTAGCATCCTGCGTTAGCCTCTTAGGGTCTCCTTCTTTCCGCTCGTGCCCCCCCGGGCCCCCATGCTCATCTCTGTCCAGAAGCCAGAAAGATTTTTGCAAAACCTCCCACTGGTTGATCCCCCCTCACTCAGAGTCGAAGCCAAAATCCTAGCAAAGGCCTTCAGGGGCTCTCTGACCTCCCTGACTTGTTCCCTCGGCTCCAGCCACTGTGGCCTCTTGACCGTGCCTTGCACAGGGCCTCGGGTCCTTAACTGGCTGCTCCTTCTGCCTGGAACCCCCTTTCCCCAGATATCCTCCTCATCCTCTCCCATTATTTCCCTTGGATCTCTGCTCAAAGGCAACCTTTTCAGAGAGGGCTTCTGGGACACCCTTTCTAGGACAGATCCCCCGTCCCCACTCCTTGTCCCTTCCTCCCTCAACCCGCTTTACTGTTATCCTCGGGACTCAAAATTAGCTCCTCCTTTGCATCTTCCCGCAACTAGAAAGCCATCTCCACGAGAAGATGCTCGTGGCTGTACCCCTAGTGCCTAGAATAGCACCGCTATTGCAAGACAACCCCAGTGGGTGACAGACCCTGGGTGGAACGAGAATCCGCCTCCTGACTCCTTGGCCAGGAGAGAAGGGATCTGAAGAGCGGACCTACCCGGATGTACTGGAATTCCTCCACAGGTGACTCCAACAGGGGAGACAGCAGGGGGATGCTGGCCACCCCGCCTGGCTTGTGCTTCCTCGTGATCAGGAGTAGTTTGTTCCGGATAGCGACGACTATCCTCAGCTCTCTGCTGTGGTGAGTGTTAATGGCATACAGGTGGCAGCCTGGGGAGAGACAGAAATGACGCTGAACACGTGACAGGAGCCTGGAAGCACCCGGGCCTCGACAATGTGGCAATACCCAAAGACCCTGGACATTAAGCGTAACCCAGGGGACTGCCTGAGAATGTTCTGGCCACCAGGCAAACAGAGGTGTGAAACACAACTTAGGCTGAGTTTCAGGAAAATTAAGGAAGTCGTATTCCCTGTATTCTAGTTTGTGGTCTTAGCTTCACACCCGTGACACCATATGAATTAAAGTGACAGGTGAGCAGAGCTCCAGGAACCAGAGGCTAAAAGTCTCTCTTCACAGATTTGCGAACAGAACTCAACTTACCTTCAAAGCTTGTCACACCAGGCCTAGCCTTTCCTCTAGCCTTCCAAATGCTGGGCTACCTCTCAGGCTTCTCTTAGGGAAACAGTGATGCTATCTTGGTGATGTTTCCGGGTAAAAACCAAACCAATAAAATCAAATTCCCAATGCATTTTTATTTCCAGTGAAATCTGAGCAGTCCGAGGGGAAAAAAAAGAATTGAACAGAAACCACCAAAATACGAAGACTGCCGTCACCTTTTGTTTTCTCCAGCTTGTTATCCCTGCAGTCACACTTGCTCCTCACAGCCTGTTTGCCCTCGATGGCCTTGTGCACAGCACTGAGCCTGAAGACAAAGAGGCGGGCGTCTTTCCCTGGTGAGACAAAGAAGGCGCCGAAGGAGATGGGTGGGAAGACCGGAAGAGCGGATTGTGCAGGAAAGCAACTGCTACAGAACGAGGAGCTGAGGTGTTCTAGAACTGGGAAGAAACCCCACACTGCCTCTACCCAACAGTGCACTGAAGGCTGTGCCCCCCACCCTTCTCCCTCACCGACCCCCGTCAGAGAACAAAGGGCCCCCCGGGGATCCTGAGCACTGGCCCCCCAAAAGGCAGTAGCTGGTACGACCCATGCGGTCAGACCGCTGTGACCCTCGAGGTTGGCTGCAGAAGGCTACCTGCTTCCCCCACTCCCAGAGGACATCACCGGGAAAGGGAGTATCACCTTTGTCTGCTCTGAGGATCAGAAGGTCCAGAGTCTCGAGCACATGCATCTGCTTCACTGGCAGGGTTTTGTCAAACACGGGCACTGATGGAAGGTCATCTGGAAGAGGAGACATGGTTCCCAGAACTGAATCCAGCCCACGCTTTCAAAACCTATAAAACGTGCCTATGAGTGGTCCTGGACCCCAGTTCCTTCTGGGCAAGGAACGTCAGCTTCTAGAGCACTGGTAAGGTCAAACACTGTTCTCTCAGCCCAGGGAGAAGGACTGACATTCCCTCCTCTATATTGGAAGCAGAGCAGCGGGGCCTAGAAACTATATTCTTTTCTTCGGTATTCATCAAAGAAAATGCATCATCTCTCCATCCCAGTTTTTACTGGCATTGTACCCAAACGACTGAACAGCAAGTTAAAAAAAAGAAAAAACAAGCTCAGTCATTTCTCTGAAGTATTTTCTTATTTTTATGTAATCTTTGAAATTATGTCACTTCTTAGATTATTTTGTATATCTCTCCAGAAAGCAAAATTAAAATTTCCTTTTGTATTTATTTATTTTTAAAGATTTTATTTATTTATTTGGCAGAGAGAGACACAGCGAGAGAGGAAACACAAGCAGGGGGAGTGGGAGAGGGAGAAGCAGGCCTCCTGCTGAGCAGGGAGATGGATGCAGGGCTCGATCCCAGGACCCTGGGACCATGACCTGAGCCGAAGGCAGATGCTTAACGACTGAGCCACCCAGGTGCCACTTCCTTTTGTATTTAAAACAAATAGAAACACACCCTATTACATGCCTACATCCATATCAACAAGAGTTTACCTATACATTTTCAGTACTTCTCCATAGTGGAATATGAAATCTCCTTTTTAGACAAAAATAAGAGAGAAATGTTGATTAAGTTGCCCAAATAACAGGAAAAAACGAACTGTAACAGAAACGTTCAGGAAGAGGTCAGATAAATGGATGATCGACGACATTGCAATGATACGTAGGATTTGTTGTTAAGATTACTTATTGGGAACTTAAATTGCTAGCAAATACCTTGTTCCTGGAGGTCCCCAGGACAGAGAGGGCCAAAAGAAATATTAAGGCTCTTTCATAAGCAAAGGGTCTGTTCTGAGCTTGATGTAGAATCAGCGCAAGGCAAAGAGGTCCTGGGATAGTGCAGACATTTCTGGCTGGATAAGTGGCTTATTCTTTATCGGTGCTTTGTCTGACATTTTGGTCTTCAAGGGCTTTATTGTGAGTCTGGGTTTGTTTCTTTGGTTACAGTTCAAGTGCATGGGGCCCTGAGGGTCTTGGCTCTTCTAGAAATCTGTCTGGTTGGGAGTTCATTCCTCCCTGGGTGGTGCCCAGAGAGAGCAGAGCTTTTGTTGTCGGGAGGGGGTTCATAACTGCTTCACAGGGGACGGCTCTCCTGTTCCTTGCAGGTCTGTGTGGGCTCTGCATTTGTCCGAGCACAGAGCCTGCTAAGCTTTCATCAGACAGAGGGCTCCGTTCTAACTGCCCTACATTATCGCGCAAGTGTAAATTCTACGATAGCCCGTCAAACCACTCTCTTCCTCCTCTACCCCAGGCCTCCATCAAAGTAACTGAGTCTCAGGCTTTGTGCTTCTGTTGGGGGCAGACTTGAATTTTCAAAACATGGGATGATCGCGCCAATACCCATTGTCATACCTGACTAAATAACTATGGTTATTTCATTTTAAAAAATATTTATTCATGGGCGCCTGGGTGGCTCAGTTGGTTAAGCGACTGCCTTCGGCTCAGGTCATGATCCTGGAGTCCC